TATGACTTGATCATCATCAGATCGTAGCCTAAATAAACAAGTCTTGAATTAAGGTCATCATTATTGGAGTGTAATTATTTTTTTAATGAAAATTGTATATAGTATTCTAATTATTATATTGTGGTTGAATATGATAAACGAAACATCGCATAATTAAAGACAAGACGTCATCACCAATAAACAAATTATTTATAAGTACATGTAAGGTTTATTTGATGTGAGATTCATATTCTTACCATCCATGCCCTCTCACATGCGGCAAATTTTAAAGTCTAACATGTGGACAACACAAATTTGGTGACGTGGAGCATGTGTGACCATTGGACTTCACATGTGGGGCAACCTGGTCTAGTTCCATGAAGCAAGTTAAGTTTTTGCTATAAAATCAATTACTTATAAGTACATGCAATGTCTATACTTTAAAAAATGTGAGATTCATATTCTCAGCATACTGAAAAATTATTAGCATTGAGTGTCACATCCCGGCCCGGGCGGGACCACTTCCCGGTCCCGACTCCACCGTAGCACAATATTGTCCGCTTTGGGCCCCCAGCACACCCTCACAGTTTTGTTTCTGGGAACACACACGAGAACTTCCCAATGAGTCACCCATCATGGGAGTACTCTCGCGCGCTACTCGCTTAACTTTGGAGTTCCCATGGAACCCGAAGCCAGTGAGCTCCCAAAAGGCTTCGTGCTAGGTAAAGATGAGAATATACATATAAGGATCACTCCCGTGTGCGATGTGGGATGTCGCATTGAGTGGCTTGGTCTTATTAATTGGATTAGTATAAATGCAAGCAATGGAATGATGTATTTAATAACTGTTTTTTAAATTTATTTATAGGAAAATAAAATTACAAACAAAGCCTTTAGGATAAGAAAAATGTACAAAAATCCCAGAAGCGACACCTCCACCAAAAACAACCATCAGTAGACCAATGTCCATCAAGGACATCAGCCACAAAATTAGCTTTCCTAATAATTGTTTCAGCTATGCCGTGCAAAGTGCAAACCAAGCCATGGACACAAACGAACAAACCTCAAAGGAAATAAAACATTTGATATGAATCATCACATAAAATATTTACATTGACAACACACCAATTCCAATAAGTTAAAAATAAAGATTGTCCATCAAAATAATTCACCATTTATAACATACCGTCCCAAATATTAACGCAACTCTTGTCAAACAATACCAAACTCTATATTATAAACTATACGATGCTAGAACAAATTAATTAAAGAAATCAAATCATACATGAAGTTACTTTGCAATGCGAAATGTTGTGATTAATATTAATAGATATGATAACACCATGTTACTAAAGTACGATCTTATTAAAAAATTATTCCATTATTAAATTATCAGTCAATAATTTGAAGTCACATTCCTCAAATTAGATATGTTCATATCTTTTCTGCGAACTCCAATAAAGTTAAACAACAATATTGTTGTTAATTTGACGATTTAGACCACATTTTAGTCATCATAATATAATAGTCTCACGGAAGCCACCCGGAAGGCCGTAATCTCCCATTGGTTATTGTGTAACTCAAACGGTCGAATCAAAATTTATGCTTCCGCTGCTAGAATTTGACTGCATTAAACCCAACTTTATTCAAATTAATTTGGTAGCTAAACAAATAATACAAGTAATGTGAATGAGATCAATTGACTAAATTAAATTCAACTTTATCAAAACGAATTTGGGAGCTAACTAACTTAGGTACGAGTACGAGTACATATGAGTTAGATTAGCTGACAAGGATAATGCAATTGGTTAACTTACGCTCGAGTTTGAACTTAGTTAGAGTAGTTTAAAAATATCGTGTGATAAACAAAAAACGTTAGATACAATAGTCAATAAAAATGATTTCTACAAACTAGGTAAAACGTTTATGTTTATTTTCGTTTATTAACTTAATTTATTCAATCCATGAGTTAAAAATAAACAGAAATGTGTAAAAAAATAAAAAGACGTCTCTAAAAATTATCTTAGCAATCAATAATTATGTATTTATTTTATTTCCACAAAGAAAAAGACTGCTTGTCCGGACCGACTTGAGGATTTACCTTTTCCTTCTTCCTTCTTGCTAGTTCCTATCGCTTTTCATAAGCAAAGCGTGAGGTTTGCTTTGCCGTTCAACGTTCAATCAATTTAATAACTCCACGTGTCCCCCTCAATTATAATATCGCGATACGTGCGGGGAATTTTTCACATTTTATTGTCGCGTTTCGGGAGGGCATTGGGCCAGCTGGCAAGAGACGCGCAAGATCGGAGCAGTAGGGGCCTAGTTCACGTGCCAGCCTGCTCCAGCATTAGAGTGAAACCAAACCGCGCCACGTGGCTAGACACAAGTAGTGGGACACGTGTGCAGTTCCTCGAACCTCAAACAGGCCCACTTTCGGCCTCTTCATAGGTGAACCCCTCCCCCTAATTCATGTCGCGACAAAACTTGTTTTGTTCTCGTTTTGTGTCAATCCGTACTTTTATCATATCCCTCTCTCTCCGTCTCCGATTTTTTCGGTCTTGATTCGATGTTCGATTTGATTTATTTCGGTTTTTAATTTTTGAAACCCATCCCTAATAATTCCCTCTATGTACGTGGCGGTCATCGACGGCTTGGAAACAAATGGTATTTGGCTAGATATGAAGTTTTCATGGACCAACCATAGTTTATTTACTAAATGTAAGTAATAGCATTTGGAGTGGTGGATTCATGTGACAACCATGCATCTAAAATAACTCGCTTTTGCATGACACTAGCATAACCTTTTTCGTAATCCGTTAGAAATAAATAGAATAAATTGTGAACATGGACATCACATTTACATAATATTTGAGAAAAAAAGTCATCCATACATACACACATAATATTGAAGTATCAATCATGATATCCTAATTGATCCAAAAATAAAATAAAAAAATCATGATCTCCTAATACAATGGTGATGTATTTAACGTATGTATTCCTGTATGTCATAATTCAAAAAATCTAATGATTTCTACTATGTTCCGACATAACTTTTGTTTAAAACCTATTAATTTATATATATATATTAGAACAATTAACAAAAGTGAAATACGATCATTTTTTTTTCCCGAACGAATAAGATCCTATTCCAAAATGCGTGTAAACCTTTTTTATAACAATAAAAGCAAATGATCGAAAACAAAAATATATTCAATTTCCTTTTTTTCCATCTTCTGGTTTACAGTTACGAAAGATCAAATACGTTATACGTTAGTTCGGCTAACAAAAAGGATCAAATACCAAACAGACCGCTACGCGAACAATCTGTTGCCCCGGAGTCCTATCCCATCATGTAGCGATTCCAGTGGGTCCAATAAAAGGAAAGGGATCCTCTTCATATCCCTTCCTCCTAATTCATCAAGTTTGGAAATACAGACCATTGAAATTTGATCCAATAGTTACAAATATGGGCTCGCTTTAAAAGTTAGGGTAAATTTCATTTTACCCCCTCAGGTTTCGGTGCAATTACAACATCATACAATATCTTTAAATCATTTCAATCTCATACATTTAGTATTTCTTTTTTTCAATTTCATACAACCGTTAAAAAATCTGTTAAGTTAACCGTTAAGTGATGATGTGACAAATAAAGAGGGCCCATTTGTGCTGACGTGGCTGCCACATTTGTGTCACGTGACTAAACATTTAATAAAAATTTTAAAATTTTAAAATAATTAATTAAATAAGGGTTTTTTAAAAATAAAAGATAAAATAAAAGCCCAGAAATCCCTTGTCTTCCCCAACCCCCTTCTTCGTCTTCCCCCAGCCACCTCGAGCCAACCCTTTTCCCTTTCCCATTACTAATGCACCTCTTCTCCAACTTGAATCCCAAATTCCTTATTTATGCATCCAATTTATCCAAGTTTCATATTTGCAATTAAACCTAAATCCCTAATCCAAGTAATTTAATTCCATGATGGGTAAGGTTCAGAAACATCTAGGCTCTGTCTTCGCTTTCATCCTCGTCAAGGTTCTCGTTGGCTGGGTGGGAGACGAAGATGATGACTGATTTGGTGGAGATGGAAGAACACGAAGAGAAAGGAAGTTGAGGTAGGTTTTTTTTTTTTTTCTTTTTTCAATTATCTGATTAATTTTTTTAATTGAATTTCTAATTAGTTCGAGGGGAAAGGGACGGGGCTGGTGATGGTAGAAGGGAAAAAGGGAAAAGGGAAAGGGGTTGGCTCGAGGTGGCTGGGGGAGGACGAAGAAGGGGGTGCGGGAGATGAATCTGGTTTTTTTTTTTTTTTTTTTTTTTTTAAATTAATTATTTTACTATTTTAAAATTTTTATTAAGTGTTTAGCCACGTGTCACAACAAATAGGAACCTCTTATTTGCCACATCATCACTTAACGGATAATTTAACAGATTTTTTAACGGTTGTATGAATTGAAAAAATAATAATAATAAATGTATGAAATTGAAATGTTTTAACCAAAACCTGTGGGAGTAAAATATAATTTATCCTAAAAATTATAATAACTTTAATCATTAAATCAAATTTCAACAATCTGGATATCTGAATTTGGTAGATTAGGAGGATCCCTTTCCTGAGTAAAAACCTCCATCATTAGAATAGTGCGAGGAAAAGTTTTTAATTATGACAGGAATCTAAGTGTTACACTACGTATTTTTATGTAAATGATGAGAAATTTTATTTTTTAAGTTATTAACTTTTTAACATATATATCTTACTATTTAAATAATAACACATGATGTACTATCTTGTGGATAGATGATATTTGAAAAATCTCTACCAAGAATGTATTCCGGGCCCACCCTCGAGATCGAACCTAACCACCTTGAGTGGATAAATCGAAAATCCTACGTGTCAATTTCCCATAATAATTGAAGGGGCCAGTAAGGTAATTTTACCATGATTGAACTCGAAGATAGAGGACAGTCTTATCCACTTGCGCCAAAGCAGCAAGATGACCTCTATAAAAGCCAATCGAAACGCCTTCAATTCTCAGAACCAAAATCAACAAACGCAGAAGGATACCGAGGGCTTCGAACCAAAACGCAGTGATTTGATCCTCCCCCGAATGGCGACTAGTGAGAGCTACTACGCTAGGCCGAACTACCGTTACCTCTCCGGCGACCACCACCACCACCAAACCCTAGCGTCCGATTTCGAACTCGACGAGTCGGACATCTACAACTTCGGCCGGTCCAACTCGCCGGAGTACCGCAAACCGATCCCGAGTTCCCGCGGCGTCTCGGCAGTGAAGAACCGGCGGGGAGATTCCGGACACCGCTCGGACATGACCGGCGGCAAGGCGGCGTCGTTGCCGGTCGGCATTCCGGACTGGTCCAAGATCTTGAGAGGTGAGTACCGGGAGAACCGGAGGAGCGACGATGACGAGGCGGACGGCGATGACGACGTGGAGGGAGGCGTGCGGATCCCGCCGCACGAGTTCCTGGCGAGGCAGATGGCGAGAACGAGAATCGCGTCGTTCTCGGTGCACGAAGGCGTCGGGAGGACGTTGAAAGGGAGGGATCTCAGTCGGGTCCGAAATGCAATTTGGGAAAAAACTGGGTTCGAGGATTAATATTTATTTTTCAGAAACAGGAAATACAGAGAGAGGGGGTTGGGGATGTACGGAAATTATTGGTTAGATTCTTTTTTTTTTTTTTTTTTTTTAATTTTATGTATTTTGTGCTTCTTTTTTTTTTTTTGTAATTTGTGAGATCAAGATGATCGTTTTTACGAATGTAATCCCAAATTGGAGAATCGTCCTCCAATTCTCGGAGGTATAAATTTTAAGGTAAATATTACTTTGCCATTTCCGGTTTAAGGTTTATTGCAATCTCATATAATATTATTAAAATATTTTATTTTCCTCCTTTATTTATTATTTTATATTAATATAATAAATCTATTACATTTTTCATCTATTAATTCATTAAAACCTCAACTATTATTTTATATCAATATAATATATTTGTTACATTTTTCATCTATTGATCTGTTAAGACGCTCTTTACTACTTTACTATTTTATATCAATATAATACATCTGTTACATTTATCGTCAAAATTATGCTAGCAAACAAAATAATTTTTTATACATTTAAAATATTATAATAATGTATCCTATTTACAAATTAAAAATTAAAAATAATTATAAAAAAAAAACATCTTCTTCCCCAAACGCTTCCCTGCGACCCAAACACCCCACCCCACCGACCCCCAACTTCCCAGCGACCGTCGCCACGTCCAAAAATCCCACCCGAGCTGACCCCCTCCGTCAAAGCTCCTACGTTTTTTGTGGGAGAGCAGATCGCCGGTGAGCGTCTCTACGAATCGATCGGCGATAGGAAAAGGACGAAGAAGAGAGAGGAGTGCTTGATATAAGGGTTAGGGTTTTGAGGCTTCGCAGATAAGCTCATCTCCTAGAGAGAGAAGGGGAGAGAGAGAGAGAGAGAGAGAGAGAAGCAATCATAAATGGTGAGTGAGGAGATGACTGAGAAGGGGATTTTAAGGAGGGGTGATGGGGGATGGGATTTTTAGGAGTGGGTGATGATGGATGGGAGAGAGACCCCGATGGGTAAGGAAGACGATTTTTGGGTTTTTCTATATTTTTTTTTATTTTTAATTTTTAAATAAGGTAAATTATTATAATATTTTAAATGCATAAAAAATTATTTTTTTGTCAAATGGCACAAATATGCTAGCCACGTCAGCTTTTAACGGATCAATGATGAAAAATGTAACGGATGTATTATATTGAAATAAAATGGTACCTGAGATATGAAAGTGAAATGTTTTGAAGATATTGTATGAAGTTGCAATAAATCTCAAACTTGATGTGATAAAGTGTAATTTACCCAAATTTTAATTAACATTAAATTCCAATTTCTTCTTAATTTAATTAAGTTATTGGGTTGTTTTTAATTTCGGATGAGATGGAAGTGGTTAATTTTTTGGGGTTGAGGTCTGAAAACGGTAGGTGAGAAATGCAGGTGGTGGGGCCAAATTGGTAAATAAAAATGGAAAGTAAATGGTTGGTGGGTTTTTATTTTTTTTAATTATTTGAGTGTTGGTGGGGTTGGCACGATATAGAAAGCAGAAAAAGAAATTGGTGAGAACGACTTGTATTAAAAAATAATGCATAATAATACAAAGGTGTCAAATCTACGCCTTTTCCTTTGCCTTTCAAGTTTTGTCGGGGAGTCGATTTCTTTGTTGAGGTAAGTTTTGCGCATATGTACGTATATTGAAAAAATGTTTGTGTTTGCAATTTCTGCGAGGCTTCTTAGTTTGAAGGGAAATTTGGTCTTACTGTTACTCGTATTTATAATTAGGTCAATTGGATTTCTTTCAGTTATTTACGCACAAACAACAATTGACAATTATGTATATGCTTATGAGACGACCAACAAAAGAAAATATTTTCCAATGCAATTGCTATGAGGCTTCTTAGTTTTGTAATGCAAGATATTCAAACCATATGTAATGCATGTTTTAAATTAATCTAATCTACTGGAATGAAAAATCTGAATTATAGAGATATTCTAAACTACTCGGAAATTCTTTAACCTATGGACAACCTTAATTATTTTTGAAATATTCTTATAGTGGGAAATTGTAATATCCCACATCGTCCAGGGGAATGATCCTTATATGTATATTCTCATCCCTACCTAGCACGAGACCTTTTGGGAGCTCACTGGCTTCGGGTTCCGTAGGAACTCCGAAGTTAAGCGAGAAAGGGGCTAGAGCAATCCCATGATGGGTGACCCGCTGGGAAGTTGCTCGTGAGTTCCCAAAAACAAAACCGTGAGGGAATGGTAAGCCCAAAGCAGACAATATCATGCTACGGTGATGGAGCGGGCCCGGGAAGTGATCCGCCCCGGGCCAAGATGTGACAAATTGGTATCAGAGCCTAACCCTGATCGCGTGTGTGCTGACGAGGAAGTCGGGCCCTTAAGGGGGGTGAATTGTAACATCCCACATCATCCAGGGGAGTGATCCTTATATGTATATTCTTATCCCTACCTAGAACGAGGCCTTTTGGGAGCTCACTGGCTTCGGGTTCCGTAGGAACTCCGAAGTTAAGCGAGAAGGGGGCTAGAGGAATCCCATGATGGGTGACCCACTGGGAAGTTGCTCATGAGTTCCCAAAAACAAAACCGTGAGGGAATGGTAAGTCCAAAGCGGACAATATCGTGCTACGGTGGTGGAGCCGGCCCGGGAAGTGATCCGCCTCAGGCTGGAATGTGACAGAAATAGACTTCTTTTTATGAGTAAACTTGGTATAAGTCCAATTATGCAAGTCATTATTGGGTTCAGTCCACTTTGTTGGGTTAGTTCCATTCGTTGATTATCCACATCAGTTTAGTTTTATTATCTTTAACTCAATTTTAGGATTAACTAGACAAACTAAATATTGTTTCTCCTACTCCCAGTTCCGTATCTCAAGTTTTTCTTCTAGCTCCATCATAGGTTAAGTGTACTAACTAATTTATGTTGTAAGTACTATACACATCATCAAATACAATGGCAAAGCCAAAAATCGAAGCCAGGAAGGGCTTTGAAGCCATATGAAAGAAATTTGACAAAAAGTAATATCACGAATGGGAGAAAAAAGGTTCATTTTTTAATAGTGCAAAGAAAATTTTTAATTAAAATAGAGTAATGGAGTCACGAAAAAATAAGATTGAGATAATTATATCATAAGTACCAAACTTCTTTATAAGTTCCTACATTGACGTTGAACAAAAATTAATAATCATGGTTCAAAACTGCAGCTATAAAAAAAAAAAATTCAAGATAAATTCTTCCTTTATTCCATACATGTGTAGTAAAACAATACTCTATCATGCGAAATGGTCAACTAACTAAGAAAGGCTAGTTGATAGAAGGCTTTGGTTTCATAACAAACTATTGTAAAACACATTTTTTTTATCAATTAGAGAAATATAATAAAGCTAACTGGGAGCAAACGCATATAAGTCAAAGAATACATAGTATTCAACTAAAAGCACACAAGAAACTTCAGGATAGGCACGGGCCTCTCCTGATCCTCAAGTAGCTCCCCCACTGATCAAATATAGTAGTATGAATGTATAAACGTATGAAGTTTAAATTTTTTTGAACTACTTTCATGGATGATAGGTAGATTAAGTTTTTTTTTTATTTTTGTATATTCTACTTCCATCACAGGTTAAATGTATTTAATCAACCTTTAGCGTAGGTCAGTAATGTTCACCAAAGGTCCTCATGTGAGGACATGTGAAGTCCTCTTTCATTTGAACCCTTAAATTAATCTGATGATGGATTATTCAATAACCTTAAATTATCACAGTTACAATTGATTAATCAATATCTTTAAATTATCGTTGTTACATCCTAACAAAATAATAATCCCACTTGAAAAGAAAATAAAATAAAAAAAGGGTCCACACGTGAAACCCTTCCGTCTTCTTTTCTTATCCGTCTCTCCCATCTCCACCCCTCTCTCTGCCTCCTCCCCCTCCCTCTTCGTCTGAATTTTTTTTTCCATTTTTGCGAATGAAAAAGGTGAGAGGAACAAAATGAAGATTTTGTAAATACATTGCAATTAAACAAATACTTCGGAAAGGAAATAAGTTTTTCACTTTGATTTGATTTTCACATTATTAGAACACCTACCAGAAACATAACAAGATTTAGAGATTCAAAAGGAACCATGCACCTGTCGCTACAGCAGTTCCAACAATCTTCAATGTAACCTAATTCCAACCAACTTAGGGATTTTGATAAATGTCTGCAAGGCCACTCATTCGGACCCCATCGACGATTGTGGTGCGGAATCTAAAACATGCGTGAGATGAAGAATTCTTCTTGAATGATTGAACTTTGGAGAAAGACCTCTCGGACCGAGTACTCAAACACAAATTATAACTTGGGGATGTGTGTTGCACTGCTGCTCATGCAAAAAGCTCAGAAGAATAGAGACAGGTAGGGGAAGAAGATGGAAAGGTTTCACAATTGAACTTTTTTTTTATTTTTTTTAATCGGGATTATTATTTTGTTAGGGTTTAAAGTGTTACAGGAATAATTTGAGATTATTGATTAGTGCACCATCAAATTAATCTAATGGTTCAAATGAAAAAGGACCTTGCAGGTCTTCAAAATGAGAACATTAGGTGAGCATTAATATATTGTTGGTATCATACGATGACATATAAATTTTCTTTTAATTATTTTTTTTTTTTTTGTCAAATGATAGATTTGTTAGATTACAGAGCCAACGAGGTCTGATGTGACATCCCACATCGCCCAGTAGAGTGATCCTTATATGTATATTCTCATCTCTACCTAGCACAAAGCCTTTTGGGAGCTCACTGGCTTCGGGTTCCATAGGAAATCCGAAGTTAAGCGAGTAGCGCGCGAGAGCATTCCCAGGATGGGTGACCCATTGGGAGGTTCTCGTGTGAGTTCTCAGAAACAAAACCGTGAGGGTGTGCTGGGGGCCCAAAGCGGACAATATTATGCTACGGTGAAGTCGGGCCTGGGAAGTTGTCCGCCCCGGGCTGGGATGTGACATCTGAACTCACGCTGTAGTGCAAGGGCATCACTCATCTCCAACATCGTAGTAAAGGACCACTTGCTTCTTTTAATTATTTTAAGAAAAGTAGTTAGATCTTCATAAATATTCAAATTAAAAGCCACTTAGTATTACGGTACAATGATATTCCTCTTCACTTATAAGTGAGAGGTCTTAGGTTCGATTCTTGCCAAAGACGAATTTGAACCATATTATTGCTAGCCCATTTTGAGGCTAAACCCACTCCC